GCCTAGTATGTCAATATTTATGCGTTCCATTTCTTCCTTAACAATATCTAATTTTCCTACATTCATGGTTCTCACATTCCATGTCCCAATCACTAAGTGTCTGCTTTTAACTGTTCCTATTCCTTTGTATTTCCATACTTGAAAGGTCAACCTCAGTTGCCCTTTCTGTTATCGACATGTGTTCTTTTGTACATAGGGTTTTCAGAGGCCTGCTGTTTCAGAAGAGGATGGCCAATCCTTCTTCCTAGTCTGTCTTAATCTGAATGTTCAGATTTAGAGAAGTATCAGACAGACCAGCAAGTGAAAGGAGATACTGCATGGTTAAAATTGCGAAGGGTGTATTCCAGGGATATATTCTGTCTCCATCCCTTTTCAATCCATATGCAGAACAGAGCATTCAGGAGGATGGGCTGTAGGAGGAGGAAATGTGTCATTAGGTTTGGAGAAAGATTCATCAACAACCTGCTTTATACAGATGACACAGCCTGGCTTGATGGATGGTGAAGAGATTGAGATTGTTAACAGCTTTAGTTTGCTTGGCTCCACAATCACTATTCTTGGTACCAGCAGCCAGGAAATCAAGAGATGAAGTGCATTGGCAAAATTGGCTGTCATGGACCTCTCCAGAGTACTGGTACTGAAAAGTACCAATCTGGAGACTAAGATGGGCCTGATACAAGCCATAATCTTCGCAATTGCTTGCTGTGCATCAGAGAGCTGGACAATGACTAGGGAGGATAGAAGAAGAATTGATGTCTTTGAGCTGTGGTGTTGGAGAAGAGCCAAATATACCATGGGCTGCCAGGAGAACAAACATGGTCGTCCTAGAGAGGGTGAAGCGAGTCTGTTCCTTGGAGGCAAGGATTCTGAGGCTTCTTCTGACATACTTTGGGAATGTTGCAAGGAGGGACCGGTCCTTGGAGTGAGACATCATGCTTAAAAGGGTGGAGGGACGGTGAAAGAGGGAGACCATTGATGAGATGTATTGAAACAGTGACGGGGTAATGAGGGTAAATGTGTTGGAGACAGTAAAGTTGGTACAGTGTAGAACAGGTTTTAGGGCTGTTGTACATAGGGTCGCTATGAGTAGCAGGCGACTCGACGGTACATAACAACAACAACATGTGTCATAAGGGATTCAGCGGCACACAACAACAACGTGCTTCTCCAGCTGTTCCGCGGGGGGAGGGGCAATCTCCTCTTGTGGGATTATCTGTCTCTGAAAATCGATGAAGGGTCAGCTATGGTTTGGTTCAGACTATATGGTACACAACAACAATTGTGAAAGTTTCCCTGGTGTACACATTTGTCAGCTCAAATTGTATACTTTAAATATGGGCAGTTTAGTATATGTCAATGATACCTCAGTACCGCTATCAAAAAAAGAGAAATACGCTAGTAAAGGACTTTGGAAGATGGCGTGAAAATTCGTGTTTGCTTGTTCCTGGTATAGGAGAGCTTGCCTCTGACTGAGCACAGTTGTCGCCAGGTTACTGTGTGAATGGATGTCACCTGGTTTTTGAAGTAGAACTCTCCTTCTCCTAGGTGCTGTGACTGTGAAGCGGCACATAGGAACTTGAAGAAATCTGGGTCCTTATAACAGTTAACCATTCTCCACAGAGTTTTCGAAGGAGAGGAAGACTCTCAATTAGATGGATTGATGGTGACAACGGCAATGGGTTTGAGCAAGGCAGATAATGAGGATGATGCAGGACCGGGTAAAGTTCAATCTACTGTTCACAGAGTTTCTATGAGTCATTGTCGACTTGATAGCACCTAACAACATGACATTTTATAGAACCAGAAACTCGGTAGCCCATAGAAGGTTCCTGCCTCTTTAAATTGCAAACTCTCGGTAGAATCACAGTGGGCCCACAAAGCTTTCCCGAGAGCGTTAGAGTTCAATTTGTCCTCTTAAGCGACTCGTAGCTCCCCGTGGTTTCCGGTAACAGTTTCACTCCTGATTGGTCTCGCGCATTGCGCGCCTGTGTGCCTGGCGCCTGCGCAGAGCGGCTCGCCGTGGAGTGGAGATGTCTAGCCGGTCTAAGAGGGAATCTCGTGGTTCTGCCCGCGGCAAACGCGAGTCTGAGTCGCGGGGCAGCTCAAGTCGTGTCAAGAGAGAGCGAGAGCGGGAGGCCGAGGCGGCGAGCTTTCGGGGCAGCCCAGTGCGCGTGAAGCGAGAGGCGGATCCAGCAAGCGCCCGCGAGGCCCTGGCACCCGCCTACCCGGTGGTGAGGGTGAAGCGGGAGCGCGAGGCGGACGAGGACTCGGAGCCCGAGCGGGAGGTGCGAGGTGCGCGAGGCTGGGCGGGTTTCCAATTTTCAGCGATTTCTCTGTAAGGGGCGGGGATATCCACAGCAATGAGGTTGGTATTGTCGAGTCCGAACAGAGTATAGCTGACCCCCGGCCGTTTCCTAGGCTGTGAATCGCACAGGAGGAAGAGATTGCCCGTCCTCCCGCGGGCGGAGCAGGTAGTGGATTCGGGCTGCCAGAGAGGCGGAGCCTTTGATTGAACCGGGCAACTGCCAAGACTTTGATCGCCAGAGCCGTTAGAGGGCAATGAAAGGACTAGAAGCAGTGTTAACAAATATGCTTTATTTAAAACGCGCGCTTCGATAGCGGGCTGAGGTTTAATGTAGCATCAGCCCCGAACAGAGGAGTGTGGCCTAGTGTTAAGGAGCTGTGCATCATTCCTAAGGCACGCATTTCAAATCCACCAGCTGTCTCGCCTGAGAAAGATGGTCAGTCTCCTGCCTTGCGATTCTGGAAGGCAATTTGGCTCTTCCTTAAAAAGCTGGACATATTGCAACAATGAATGAATGGAAATCCAAAATCTCTAAATGTTCATTAAAATTAATAATAAAAAAAAGATGAACATAGAAATCCCATATGACCCAGCTATTCCGCTACTTGGAATATACCCTGAGAATATGAGAACTGAGGCACAAACAGATTTGTACACCAATGTTCATAACAGCATTGTTTATCGTCGCAAGAACATGGAAACAGCCCAAATGTCCAACCACAAACGAATGGATTGAGAAATTATGGTACATTCGCACAATGGAATACTATGCAGCACACAGGAACAATAACTTTGTAAATTATTTCCTAACTTGGGAGGGACTGGGGAACATTATGCTGAGTGAACTCACTCAGCCCCACAAGGACAAATATTGTATAAGAATATTGTAGAAAGAGTATGAGGATCCAGGAGGAGTGGGAGAGGCTGGAAACAGAGGGATGTGGATGTGGGGGGGAAGGGGATTAATCATTGGGTTGTACAATTTGATGGGGTGGGGAAGGGAAATTGAAAGAATTTGTTCAAATTTGTATTAGACTTTTGTAAATAAACTAGTGGGGAAAAAATACATTTGTTGTTGTTGTTATGTGCCATCGAGTCGCTTGCAACTCAGCGACCTACTAACTTGTGCCAGCAAATCTGGATGGCAGCCAGCTGGCCACTCCCAAAGAAAGGTGACCCGACAGAGTGCAGAAATTATCGCACAATATCATTAATATCTTGCAAGCAAGATTCTGCTGAAAATTAGTAAAAAACCTTTAGAACAATATATCAACAGAGAACTGCCAGATGTGCAGGCTGGATTTAGAAGAGGTTGTGGTACCAGGGATATTATAGCTAATATTAGATGGCTCTTTGCAGAAGGCAGAGATTACCAGAGGAATGTCTATTTGTGCTTCATTGGCTATGCAAAGGCTTTTGACAGTGTGGATCACAACAAGCTATGGCTGACTCTGAGAAGAATGGGAATCCCAGAACATTTGATTGTGCTAATGTGAAACCTATACTTGGACCAAGAGTCAGTAGTCAGAACAGAACAAGGAGACACTACATGGTTCAGAATCACGAAGAGGGTCTGTCAGGGATGTATTCTGTCTCCATACCTTTTCAATCTGTATGCAGAACAGATCATCCAAGACTAATAAAGAAAACAGTCCCCCGAAAAACTATTGCCTCTGAAGACCTGCGAGAAGGTCAGCTATGGCTTGGTGTTCCGACTCAGTGTTACACAACAACAGCAGCAGTTGTTGGGTTTAGTCACAACAATTTTAAGGTCCTCAGGCCATTTTTCATTTTCCTTCCAGCCTTTAACTGTTAAACTATCAACTAGCTTTTGATTATAAAGTCGTGTCTAAGGGTAAACATTAATCAGAGTATTTACAATTTCTTCCCCCCCAATTTTTCTTAATTGATACATTTATTGAAAATATAGACTAATAGTTTTGTGTTCACATGTCACTGTGGCTATGTGCTGACCTCCACTCTGGACTGAAATGAAAGAGTAAAAAGAAATGACTGCCAAAACAGTATTGTTTCAGACACACTTTGCTTATAATTAATACTTGCTAGAAAAGGACGTTTGACATTATTTACAATTATACCAACATTCTTGGAGTTTCGACTATCACAGGCATAAAGGTGCCACATGATCACAAGAAGGCCATTCATTCTTCCCAGTTTTATATTTTAGCTGTGATGTCCAGAGCAAATTGTTCTTAACAAGTAGAATTTTAAGGTCCATTCAATCCGAGAGTTTCTTAGGTCTTTGAGTCTATTCATTTGCAAATGGGAGTGGAAACTTGAACCAGGGTCTTCATATCATGCCTTCTCATGTGATGCCAAATCTTTATATGCTATCAATTTCTTTGAGATAAAGGGAGTGACTCGCAGCAGAGCCACATAGATGAGAAAGTTGCATATGGAAGAGATCACATCTTCGCGCATCTTCTGTTCCATTTTCTCTGGGTCTAGCTTTGACGCATGGTCCTTGATCCGGAACATTGTAGTCCTGTCTCCCTGCTATCAGGTGGGCTCTCCTGCTCTCTTTGGTCCCAGTATTTACTATTTCTTGGAACACACAGATGTTATTAGGATAGGGTCATGTCAGCAAAATGGAATGACTTTGGTTTCAACTCTATAGGTGTGACTAGTACTAATAAAAATTGAAGCCAGGCTGGTTGCCATTGACTTATTTGGGCTCATGGCAAGTGCACGTGTGCAGAGTAGAACTGCAAGTCATAGGATTTTCAGAGCTGTGGGATTTTGGAAGAAGGTGGCCAGGCTTTTCTCCCAAGTCACCTCAAGATAGGTTCAAGCTGCCAACCTTCAGAGAAGTAGCAGAGGTATTACCAATTTGCATCATCCAGGTATCCCTTGTATCAGTAACTCTAGTTTTAGTACTCTGAATATACTGTTAACAGGAGCTTCCTTAACTGATGACTCAAGGTGGGTCAGAGAGCTCTGGTGGCTTGGTGGTAAAGATTTGCACTGCTATCCAAAGGTTCAAACCCCCCTGCTGCTCCACAAGAGGAAGATGGACAGTCTGAAAACTCACTGGAAGTCAGCTGTGAGTCAGGCCCTACTTGATGGCACATAACCCCAAGGTAGTGTCTCTCTGTCAGTTGGAATACACCAGCGACTGTATAAGAGAGAAGAAGCTGGGCAGTCTCTTGCGAGAGATTTACATCCTCCAGAAATTCAGTGGAGGGTCAGGTATGAAATCAGTTTCAACTGTATGGTATACAACAACATCACCACCACCACCATTTAATCAGAATCTACACTGTAACCACATTCCTAGGTAGTTCTTACAAGTACGTAAGACTTACCAGTGGATCCTGTTAGGGAGCTTTGGTGGGTAAGCAGTGGTGCTGCCAACCCTGTGTAGGTAGAGGGTTCCAATCCATCATCTTCTCCTGGAGAGAAAGATGGACAGTCTCCTCATGTATGATTTACAGCCTCTGAAAACCAGCTGGAGGGGCAGCTATGAGTCAGTTTTGATTTCACGACAATGACTTTTGAGTTTTGCTGTTACTGACCTGTAGAGTCTCTGTATGTTTATGTGTAGAAATGTTGAACTCTTGTGTGCAGGGCACAGCTGCTCCATACTGTGATCCAGGCTGTGCCATTTTACCTGGAATACTGCCCACTGAGGAGCCCATATGTGACACCCTAGGAATCCTGTTGAAAGTCCGCCAGTTGTTAATGAGCTCACCACCACTTCTGTGGCATCCTTAGGTTGAGAAAATGGTTCATGCTTTATTACACACTGGAAGTTTGATGGTTTGAGTCTATCCAGAGGTCCCTCAGAAGAAAGGTCGAGTGATTGGATTTGGAACAGTCAATTATTGGAAACTTTTTTTGGAACCAGAGCACCAGATTAAGAGTTGTTGCCTCTTGTTAGGTTTAAGCCATCAGTCAACCTTTAAGGTAATACCTGAAACACTAGCTTTTTGTATCACTCAGGTGCTCTTCGCGTTGATAACTTTGGTTATATTATATCTAATGCTATTCACAGCGTCTTCCTTTAGCAGAGTGCCTTAGGTAGGTCGGACACCTACTTTGGTACATGTGGGTCATTGGGAGCTGGTGTTGACTTGACAGCAGCTATGTACCATTTCTGAAGTTTTTCTTGTTCCACTGAATTATATCCCATGTTCCTTTTTTCAACTTTGTACTATTTGCATTCTGGTGAGTTTTTACATGACTGTTGAAACAACATATGAATATATCACTAGACTGCATGCTAGGGGAGAAAATAGTGTGGAAGGAAATCTCTTGTTCTTTGTTGTTGATGAGGTGCCATCAAGTCAACCAGGATTTACAGTGACCCTGTGAATAACTGATCTGAACTTTCCCCTGTCTGTCCATCCTCATAATCTCTGATATACTTGAGCCCAATTGTGTTACAGTCACTGAGTCAGTCCATTTGTTGGGGTCTTCCTCCAAGACAGATTTGTTTGTTCTATTTAGTACTCTTTTCCAGCATCACAGATGAAAGGTACTGGTTCTTCCTCTGTCATTTTTATTCATTGTCCAACTTTTAGAGGCATAAGAAGGCATTGAAATGACCATGACCCAGGTCAAGTGCACCTTAGTCTTTAACCTGACATTGTTGCCCTTTAGCACTTTGTAGACATCTTCATAGCAGATTGCGTCACTGCAGCACATCTTTTGATTTCTTAACTGTGGTTACCATGATGTTGATTCTGAATTTGAGTAAAATGAAATCATGGACAATGTCAGCCTTTTCTCCATCTATCATGATGGAGCCTATTGGTCCAATGGTGTGGGTTTTTGTTTTCTTAATTTTGAGATGTAATCGATAGTGAAGACAGTAGTCTTTGATCTTCTGCAGTAGTGCTTCATCTTCTTCATTTTCAGCAAGCCAGGTTTTGTCATCTTTATAACGCAGATTGTTGGTGAATTTTCCTCCAATCCTAATTCCATGTTCTTCCTCATATAGTCCAGCTTCTTGACTGATTTTCTC